AAAAAAGGTAATGTATATTATGAGAAAATTGAAGTGTTTTTTGATCTTGGGTTTATGTTAACCTATAAGAGACCTCTAAAACAACATTAGGATCCTTTAAAATAGCATAATAGGGGCACTTTAAATTTAGTTGCCAGATTTGAAACTTCCCAAAGACTTGAATTAACTTGCCTAACTTGCTTTGCATTCAGCTTGCTACATCTTCCTTGTACAGTATGATAAAACTGTTCCTTGTTGCTTGTCTCTTTTAATTTACGTCAGAAGCTACATGGGGTTCATTGAGTGCATAGGATGCAACCACTGTGATCTACACAGTGTTTGCAGTGTCCTCACGTCACTGGAGCTCATGTCAGTCTGCACTTCCATTTGGTGTCGTGATGCAAACTGTGGCATGTGCCGTTTGACAGAGGAACTCTGTGGGTAAATGTCACAGAGACTGCTGCCATCTTCGAGTGTCACCAATGAGAGAAACATCGAAGAAAACCGCAGCTCTTACGTGCATTCTGACATTTTCAGAGTGCATTGAGTTTTATTATCCCTCTTGCTACGATAATTCATCTGTAGTGCTGTCAGTTGGTTCATCTTGTACTTCTGAGGGTTTACAGTGTTTAATCACTCTAGTGTATCTTAACCTTTGCTAAGTAAGCTGCAGCCTGCTAGCGAGATGCTGTGTGAGCCAGCGAGTGCGTGTGACTGTTTTGTGGTCTGGCCTTTTATTAACACTGTCATACAAACGGATATACTTCAGCTCGTATCAGTTAGAAGCGGTGTGTGGTTCTTCCTAGAAGTCAAGCAGCGCACTCTCTTTTTTCTACTTTTTTAGTGTAGGCCCTACATTTAGATAAGACAACAGTTTAGGGTTTGTTTCACTGCAGTTAACAAACTCAAAAAGTTTGGATTGAAGATGATAGTCAGGTTGGGCCTGCAGACTTGTTTTCTGAAATGGTTGTTCACGTTTGACTCAATCAAAAGCGGCTTTTAGAATTCTTTTGAGTTTAATATTGAAGGAGGCGTTTAGATGAGCCAACATAAACTTTATACTGTCCTTATCATAGTGTTTTTTTATATCAATAAACAAATTTGAGTCCAAGTCTGCTAGCGAGATGCTGTGGTAAGAGTTCCAGAGGAATCTAATTTCGAATATGTTATGTGCTTTTGCTGTGGTCACATGGCAACAAAAGAGGCCAAAATGTCTCATCCTTTTTATTTCACCTTCAACTTCCTCCCCATTTCCACTAAACCAGGAAGACCCAAATGAGAAAGCGTCAACACAGCACATGCGGTCTTCTCACTAAATATAGTCTGTTATACATATGAAAAACGTGAACGTATTTCGCACCGCGAACATTGTAACATGAATGAGTCATTTGCTGTTATAATAAGAATGATTTACAGACTGAATCAGAATGATTCCCATTCAGTGCGAATGAATTGGAGTTGACAAGTCATCATCTAGAATCGTTTCAGTTGTTGGGCATTTTTCTCGTTGCATATAGACCCTAAGATATTATACTGAAATTGCATTTTAATTTAGGATTAGGCTTAATATTTAACTGAACACCGTAAATATCTATCAAATTTATGGTAAAAGCAACAGCTGTGTTTGCTAGAAACTCACTGTAAAAAATATGGTGACAATGTTAGATATTACGAGATGACATATTAATGCCTCTATTTTACAATTTATATGCCATATGTTTTATTAATTGACAATGTTAATATAGCAATGAAGCACTAAAACCTTCTTTTCACTTTAAAAACCTGCTTTTCACTTTTAAATGTTTTGATAATAATAACCAGAGGCGGCCTTTGCTATTTAGAGGCCTATTTCGAAGAAACAGTTTGAGGCTCCCATACACTGAGAAAAATAGACAAAAACATATGCAATGCGACTCGGTTTACTTTATCTCTGTTAGGTCTATATTTAACAACGTTATTTCATATTTTACTCTTTCCATCATAACACAGACAGTAAAAATCCACCTTATTTTTTACATAAGACATTTGTAACTTGAATGTGTGAGGCTTCCGTTATCATCAGTTATTTTAGCTGTACAAAAACAGTCGGTTATGCTGCTTGACATTGGCAACTGGTATTTGTTATGGCATTTAATTTATTATCGCAATCATGAACAAACTGGATTGTAGCGCAAATAGTTTACCATTTACTTCTCTTTGTTATTCATATTGTTATTTACCTATAGCGGCTAACGCATCGAAAGTCTTGCAAATTCACAGAAAAAAGCTTACTTCTGCATTGGCTAAAAAAACACATGATGAACCATGAGTTTATTTTAAGTAGCCTGTCCATAAAACACGGCCAATACTCGTATAGGGACAATGCACAAGGTCACACTCACAGAGACAAAACATCACAAAAATAAGGAGAAAAATATTCATATGAAATATAATTATATGTAATCTTCTGAGACTTCTGGGAATGTCATTTTACTGGTTTTTTTTTTTGCCATAAATTATATAGGAATTCATAGTTTTTTCTTTTAAAAACAATAAATATGACAGTGTTTTACAGTAAAATGACATTCACAGCCCAGCCAAAAAAGTCGATTTGGATTAAAATAGACAAATACTTACTTGACTCTTTCATTGTCAATACAAGATCTTGACCAAAAATGTATGCACCTTTTGATGGAAATAAATGTTGTGATGTTATTTCCATGTGCATGCATTTTTGGTCAAGATCTTGTATTAACAATGAAAGAGTCAAGTAAGTATTTGTCTATTTTAATCCAGATCGACTTTTTTGGCTGGGCAGTGAATGTTATTTTACTGTAAAACACTGTCAGATTTATTGTTTTTAAAAGAAAAACTATGAATTCCTATATAATTTATGGCAAGAAAAATAACTGAAACACAGATAGAAATTCATATTTTTTTCTTTTAAAAACAATAAATCTGACAGTGTTTTACAGTAAAATTACATTCAGCGCCCAGCCAAAAAAGTAGATTTGGATTTAAATAGACAAATACTTACTTGACTCTTTCATTATTTAAATCCAAATCTACTTTTTTGGCTGGGCGGTGAATGTAATTTTACTGTAAAAAACTGTCAAATTTATTGTTTTTAAAAGAAAAAACTATGAATTCCTATCTGTGTTTTACAGTAAAATTACATTCACTGCCCAGCCAAAAAAGTCGATCTGGATTTAAATAGACAAATACTTACCTGACTCTTTCATTGTCAATACAAGATCTTGACCAAAAATGTATGCACATGGAAATAACATCACAACATTTATTTCCATCAAGAGGTGCATACATTTTTGGCCAAGATCTTGTATTGACAGTGCAAGAGTCTATCACTCTGTAAAGTCTCCTCCAGCACATCCCAAAGACTTTCAATGAATTTAAGGTCTGAACTCAGAGGTGCCACTTCATGTGTAAAAATTCTTCTTCTTTACAGTTTTTCACTGCATATGGAAAGGTAACTTAGTTGACCAGGTTTTTCTCTAGCATTTTTAGTGTGTTTTTTTTCCTGTAAAAGTTTAAACATTTTTCCAGTGTAGATGCGTCTGATTAATTAAAGCAAACCGGTCCTTGATGCATCTTATATATTTATAACCCAAGTGCATGTCAGTTTTAGTACGTTGACGGCCCTGTTTCTTTTTCCTTCAAATTCTCTGGCGTACCCTCGAGTGCTGCGCGTTTTAGGATACGAGTCACTGATATACGCTCCAGGCTTTGCTTACAAACACAGGCCTGACTGATTTGGCTGATAAGCCTGGGGGTTTCTGGGCCCAGAGCCTACTGGGAGGAGAGCGAGAGAGCGCTGCGAGGAGGGAAAGCACCTGGAAGCCGTCCACCCTGTGCAGGGTCACTGAGTTTTGTCTGGAGGCTCTCCCTACTGTAGCTGTTAACAGCAGAATCCTGCATACTGAGTATTCCTGGGCTCCTGCAGCCTGTATAAGGCGTTCGATAGACCCTTTTCACAGTTCTGGGTTTCTCAGAAGCGGAAGTCGTCATAGTTGGGTAAAATTCTATAGCAGTAAATGAGAGACTACATTAAATCTATTTTTTTTTATGTTCCTATTTGCTCAAATAGCAAAAGAAAAACTCCACAATAGTGTTTTCACTACTTTCAGAAATAGGGAAAAAATTGGGAGGGATTGATAACGGCTGTCAGGAGGGAGAAAGATGTCCATTTACACAGCGACTGTCACTCCCACAGTCGCTGTGTTAGAAACACCCTCACAGCAGCGTAATTTGATGTTTAGATAATATAATACAAAGTATAGTATTATAAATGTACATATTTAAAAAAAGAAAAAGAAAATATAAACAACTTTGCAGGATTTACAGTGCTGATGACTGTTAAAACGCGTGATCACAGTCTGTGAAAAGGGTCCATTGGTCAGTAGGGCCTGTTCGGAGGTAGAGATAAAATATAGACTGGACAAATGAGTGTGTGGACATCGCCAGGCTGTTATTTCAGCCTTATGCCATTCCAGTCGATTATACAGTACAATTAAGAAATAGAAAAATGTCCACTGTAGACATTCTTCTGACTATAAGTAACTTTGCAACTACATGTCAACTAGTAACTACATGTCAATTAGTAACTTTGCAACTACATGTCAACTAGCAGTTATTAGAGTATTAGTACTGTCTGCTGAATATCTGTTAACACTTTACAACAGACATACTACTGACTGTCAACTTATTCTACTTACCCGAACTCTAACCTAGCAGTCTACTAATACTACGTCAACTTAATCTACTAGTACTCTGTGAGTTAGTTGACATGTAGTTGCAAAGTTACTTATAGTTAGTAGAATGTATAAAATGGACTATCTAAATATAATATATTGTATAATTTTAAAATCTGATTTTATGTTTATGATATATTGTTTTTGGACTATTTTATCTCAAATAATTGTCACTGATTCTATAGACAAGAGCGTCTACTACTATTTTAGACTTAAGTGAGGTCGTGTAAATAAGAAGATCTAATATCTGTCATTATTTTTGTGTGTGTGCAGGTTGTGACGTTATGGTATCGAGCTCCCGAGGTGCTGCTTCAGTCCAGCTATGCTACTCCTGTGGATCTGTGGAGTGTCGGCTGCATCTTTGCTGAGATGTTCAGACGCCGGTAAGTTTGCACAGAGTCATTATCTATCGTAATAATCCTGACTAGTTAACTGAAATGAAGAAAGATGTAGGATTCAGGCAGGTGATGCTCAGTTAAACGTGTCAAGCATGGATGACCTGATTGCTTGCATGTGTCTGGCACACATGGAGTAACAAGAGTTATGATTTCCCTTGAGTCTATAAATATTGCACAGGGTGTGTCTTGAATAATAATATGCTTAACATAAAAATATTTTAAATGCATATTTTAAAGTGCAAAATAGTCCTTTAATTTCTTTTTGGTCCACTTTATTAGTGATAGGGCCCACTTTCCGTTCACACTGAAGAATATATATATATATATATATATATATATATATATATATTTATATATATATATATATATATATATATATATATATATATATATATATATATATATATATATATATATATATATATATATATATAAATATATATATATATATATATATATATATATATATTTATATATATAAAATAGGTTGCGTTTTAAGGTGGTTTTAGGGCCATAATGCACACTTTAAAATGGAAATCTGACATAAAATAATAAAATTGAAAACCACTGAGCATGGACATTATATTAAATATATATCACATTATGGGTCACATGTAATTTGAAGACTCTGAAAACTATTTTAAATTATATACCATTTTAATTGTATAATTAAAAATGTGTCAAATTAATTTGAGATAGAAATTAATTTTACCTTATAGAAGATAGATATTACATATTTCCCCCTTAATAGTTTTATGAAACCGTTTTAATATTGTATTTTATGGTTTAATGTTGTATGGTATTATATTGTATTTTATCAAAATCTGAAAAAGAAAATTAAAAATCAGGAAATGATAAAAAAATAAACTGATTTTTTTAAAATAAATAAAAAGGATTGTTGGGCCACACTGCTTCTAAACCACATTTTTGCAGGAGGCTGAGGTTATTAAAACAGACATAAAAAAAAAGTCACTGTGGTTGTGACAGACACTGTAGACCTGGAGTGATCCGTTCATCTGTGTGCGGTTTAACGAATCTTTCCAACTGCTCAACTCAACACTGGCACATTTATTAAAGCTGCTCAATCCAGTGACAGCAGGATTTAACGGTTCAACGGTTCTTTCTTTGTGGCTTCTAATGTTCTACATCAGCTTGTAGCGCTTTATCATTATTTATGGTTCTATTTATTTATTTATATATTTATATATTTATGGCTCTTAAAAGAGAGAAATATTAAGACTAAGTTTTGCAAATAATTTATTGTCATTTTTTATTTCAATGAGTTTACTGTAGATGAGATTCGAATATCTAGATGAGGTTCGTGAAAAAATTTCTCTCATTAAATTGGTCACCAATTCAATCGTGAGAAAGGCACGGATTTCAAAACGGATAGAGTTGTGCATGAAACAAGTGTATATGCATTGCATGTTATTTTAGTTTTATTATGGTTTTATTATTATTTTGATTTAGCTTAGTTCATATTTTAGTTAAATTTTTGGTAATTTCGTTATGTACTTTTGCCATTTTATTATTTTTTTCCCCCTAAATATTGATATTTAGGATTAATTTCTTTTGATTTCAGCTTGCAATCACATCATTCTCTATAGGGCACAGCTGATTGGTTCCTGCTGCATCAGCAGGCTAATGAGCTCGCTCAACCCTCAAATACTTGGTCAGCATTTGCTGTAGCAGTTGCAGCACACTTTCCCCAGCTCCACCTGTATAGATCTGCTACGGGTAATTCATGTACGCTATATTGTACAGCAGCAGCATGTCTTACATGCTCACAGCAGAGTGTTGTGTATGTATTGGCAGTAGCAAGTCCAATACTTAGATTTATTCCGCCAAGATCAAACATATCAACATCGTCATAACCATTACCACACCAAACACTCCGAGAGTTGTCATGACAGAAATAATTTTAGAGCTTTAACTTAAATATTTCAGTTTATCTCCAAGGCAACATTTTTTTGTTTTTCGTTTAGTTTAAGTTTTTGCAATTAAAGGGGTCATGAACTGGATTATTTTATTATGTTTCCTGGGGTGCCCTTATAATGTTAGCATGATTTTTACATCAAAAATTGTCATAATTTAGAAATAAAAGGCATTTTTCCTAGCCTGATTTGAACGCTCTGTTTGAAGGGGCGTGTCTGTGTGAGACTTCAGTGTAAATGCCCACTGCTGTGATTGGCTGACATGTTTGCATATGAAATAAATAATAGCTAGCATTACATGTGGAACTCTCTCTCTCGAAATCTTTTACTACGTTTTTACTATTACAGCTATCGAGATTAACGAATCGTGAAAAGTAATGATTATAGCATTATATTTAGATCTACTCCCAACACATGAAAGGTTGCAGTGATGAGCATTGAGCAGATGACAGACAGTCTGTTGATCGCGTGAATAAAGATCTCATCATTGCAACGCAATTTCTGCACTCTCACAAATGCTTTCACCAAATAACAATGCTAACACGATGTAAATACAGTAAGAGCTTCGTTGTGCAGTGTAACAGCGTCATTGATTTCATAACGAGTTTTGGCAAGTGTCCAGATAAACTCGCGCTGTGTGATTGACAGCTTGGGCGATTGGAAGGGAGCGTTCTTTGATCGCTTTCTGTATATCATTTAATCAGTTTAAATAAGATTATTTTCATCCTACTAAGAGAAACGATTTGAAGTTGATTGTTTAGTCACTGGCTTGATTTGCTGATGCATAAACAGTATTGAAGGATTTTGAGAGAAAGATATAGCCTGACTTCGTCATACTCATATTCTAGTCAGAATGTATGATACTGCTCCATAGGGCTTTGATAATGAGGCGTGTCTTAACCCAACCAGAAAAAAAACAACTCTGCATTCAATTGGACAACCAATCAGAGCAACGCAGTGAGTGACGTATGTTGAGCTACGCATAGTTGTCAACAGAACTCAACTGCACACACGCTGGAAGAAGTAGTAAAATAATGAGTGTTGCTTCTTTTACTTGGTCCTCCATGAGTGTGACCAAAGGAGAAACCACAACGACCACAGGGTTTTCATTACGTCCCATCTTCTTAGCGACCATCGGAGCCAACACATCTTTCCGATCTACAAATGCCTTAATTGCAGTTCTCTGTTCGTCTTTTAAAATGAATGCGCTGTCGATTTCTTTTACAACAGACGCGATAGCGGAATCTATACATCTCAATTCTCCAGCTGCAGTCATCTCTGAGGGAAACCAGTTCAACCCAAGCGCTCTTTGATAACGTGATGATTACGTAACTGCAGGTCATCTGTCCATCATCGTATAAAGCCCGCCCTGGCAATTTGATTGGCCCGACTAATTCTGAACCGATCATAATTACTCCTCAATGGATCTAGTCCAGACCGAACTTCCCGACCAAAAAATGTTGTGGGCGGGGTTCGGGCTGGCATCCAGGCTAAGAAAGATAATCTATCTGAACAGAAATCACTGATCACAGATCAGGCATTAGAATAAACATGGTTACTTGCATGTTTGTGGCGTAGATCCAAATCGTAAAAGTTAAAACCCCCCCCAAAAAACAACACTTTCCTAGCATTAGGATCGTTTGGAAGTTAATGGTATTGATTCTGTGTCGATCTTTTCTCTCATGTACTAACGCGCCAGTGGGCGGAGCCAAAGACGCGGTGATGTAGGCGTAGATATTCTTCTGCAAAGGCGGTCTTTCGCTGCCCTGTGACATCATAACTTAAGTCACCACTTATGTTTTCTGGCCTTGGTTTCAATAAAAGCTGTTTTTGGAATAACAAGGAAGTTTTTAGTTTTGAAACTTGCAGGATATTTTTATAGTATAACGACCACTTAACTGTCAAAAGATCAAGGACATTTTTAATTCTCGGTTCATGACCCCTTTAATATTTGTTTTATTTTATTGCAGCTTTTTTTTTCAAATAACATACAAGTTTTTATTAGTTTTCGTCTTGGTTAACAATAATAATGCGTTGTCGACCCATTTCATTCCAGCTTGTCGATGATGTTGAATTACCCGCCCCTCCTCGTGCCGCTGGGGGCAATTGCGTGGGCTGATGTTTTCCTCTCCCGACGCGCCATAACAAGTGCATAATCGGATGAACAGGGAGATTTGTGATGGAAAGCGCAGACACACAAGCAGGGACACACTTTCACACACATCCTGTGTTTCACATTCTAACAGGCCCACCTGTCCGTCCCTTCCGTTATCCATTGATGGTGTTTGCTTTGCAGGAACGGTATATAAACATTAGCTGACTCAGTGCTTAATACAATAATCCCATAGTTCAGATAGGAAAGTTACGTTTAGTTTCAGGCACGTAACTATCTGTTTAATTTGTGCCGTTGCATTTGTTAATTACTAAAGAAACCTTAAAACACCAGTTATATCCATTCACGGGTTTGGTTTCCACTCTCTAAAGCCATGTGCCATAAAAAGGCCACTGTGCTGGGCTCCTGGCATGCCTCCATTAGTGCCTGGAGGTGGGAGGGGAAGGGGGGGGCTTTCATTGCTGCTACCAGCACACCTTTTCTCCTCCTGCAGGTGATTAAGAGTGCTTTTTAAAAGGCCACCTGTTGCAGATTAAAGGGCACCTGGGACCAGGTTTCTCCTCTGATGTCTGAGAAGTGCACCGCGCTGTACACGCCAACCCCAGTAATGGATGTTTTCGACTCACCTGAGAGTTATAAAGATGTGGTGCGCCTCGGCCAGCAACATATTGTATGGCTTTGTTTAAGATGGAACTTTAACTGTTGAGGGGACAGCATTTTCCTGGAGAGGATCGTGTAACATGGGCCTTGGAGTTTGCTCTGCTTAAGTTGTTTTGTTGAGGGTTTTATAAAAGATCTTTACTTGTCTGACGCTCACAATGTGTAAAGTTCATGCAAGTCTGTATCTCTTGGATGATGTCGTGATCAGTCAGTGTTTCTGAATGACAGAAAATGCTTTTGAGATTCTGCTTTTCCAAGGGTTGAACATATTGCGTGAA